TAGCATTTTGAGATGGGAATCAGCAATAGCACCCTACATACATAATTATCTCAGTACAGTTCAAAGGAAATACCAAACCCTATTATATAAGTCAGTCCTTATTATATTAACAAGAAGCTCTGGAGATGAAAAGGGTTGAGAGCCACCAGCCAAAAATAAATTGTATAACTGGTCATGTTAACAGGTGTATTCTTATTGGATAGATATTTACATGACCTTTTTCCACAACAGATATTGCATGAAAACTCCTTTTCCATTTTTACAGCTCTCTAGTCCCCTGCATTTAAAAGTATACCGTATTTTTCGCCGTATAAGACGCACCTGACCATAAGACGCGCCTAGGTTTTAGAGGCAGAAAACAGGAAAAAAAAATTCTGAACTAATGGACTGCAGACACAGTACAGGAGATGACCAGAGACTGCGGACAGCACAGGGATGACCAGAGACTGCGGACAGCACAGGGATGACCAGAGACTGCGGACAGCACAGGGATGACCAGAGACTGCGGACAGTACAGATGACTGCTGACCTTTGGGGAGCGGGTACCTGAATTTGACAGGTACCCGCTCTTACTTTCGCAGAGTTTTTGTTTGATCTTACCTGTTCCTCGATCCAGCTGCGCGCTGTCTTCCCGGCTTCTGTAATGGTGCTCGGCATGACAGCCGGGTGCCCAGTGCGCATGAGCGAGAAGCACTTGCGCTTTGTTATTGGTCCGGCGGCTTCTGGGATCTGTCATGTGTCCCAGGTACCACCTTACCATTCACAAAAAGCACCGCTTCTTGCGCATTCGCACACTTGGCACCCGGCTGTCATGCCCAGTGCCCACACTACAGAAGCCAGGGAAGACAGCACGCCGCTGGATAGAGGAACAGGTAAGGTCCCGCTGCAGAGCTGAGCGGCTGGCCCAGTATTCTGACACGGCCGCGGTGGAAATACCGGACCGGCCGCTCCATATTCGCTCCATAAGACACACTGACATTTCCCCCCCAGTTTTGGGGAAGAAAAAGTGCGTCTTATACGGCGAAAAATACGGTAGCTAGTTCTTGAGTCATTCTTATATAAATATTAGGTTATTTTAAAAAATACCCTGTGTTGCTCTGGAACTGTACTACTAGTGATTTCATAAAGTGATAGGAAGAGCATGCCAATTCATAAAAAAGGGAAAAAAGCTATATACTAGCCTTTATATCTGGATATGCCTTATTGCATTAGTACAATTGAATGCATTTAAATTTTTAATTTTAAATGTACCAGGTATTCATTATCCCTTAAATGGTAACTAAAGCCAGACATATTTGTTTTACTTACAGGACAAGCTTTGTTGTTAGCAGTAAAACCTTCATCTTTGCTTGGTCAGAAGGTGATCAAACCTTGACAGAATTTGCAAGCAGTATGAAAGACCAAGGATGCAGTACTTAGAATCAAAATGTAAGCAGTGTTGCAGGGCAGATAACATATAATTATTATGAACCTGGTTACCCCTAGCATAAAATAATTGCTTGAAAACATGAAAAGCAGCCCAGTCAGTGAAATAATAACACAAAATAAATCTGCAAACAAAGGCAACCTGCAAAAAATGAGAGAGTACTTACCTTTTCTGTTGCTCATGCTGCCAGAAAGGTATTCACTATTTTTTTTTTGGCAGGTAGCATTGAATTTTGTATTTTTAATTTTTTTTCGCTGACAGGGTTACTCTAACATATACTTTCCTGTAATATCGGTCTGTCATCAAATACTCAGATATTTTACTGTGAATGTTTTTTATTTACAGCATTGCACGTTGCTTATTCCTAATTAGTACTTTTATTGCACTCACTTACTCTCAAAAATTACTAAACTTGTTGCCATTCTCTTATTTTTATCTGCATAATCAAAATTCAGAAACAGATCATGATTTGCAGCCATTTAAACAAACAATGCTAATACTGTATTATATAGTCAATAACAAAGTAGAAACTGATATGCATGCATTAATCTATTATGAAGAACAAATCCCTATTAAAGCTTTTCAAAATAACAGGTTTCAGCTCAGCCATAAGCTTCTTAAAATTCCCTGTACAACCTAAGAAATTATTAAAGGGATCATTCAGGAAGCAAAAAACCCGTGGGATTAAAAAGGATCACCCCCTTGTAGAAGTGACTTGTAAACTCAATCTGGTATAGGTAATCACCTTCTCAATGGCACACAAAGCCATTTGACTTTCAGCTATGATCAGCTGTGGTTGTTTTGATTAGCTTAGCATGAAAAGAGCTTTCTTGGAGCATTTCAGTCCCTGTTAGTGCAACTGAAGCAAATAATCAACTATGGGTGGCAAGGCACTGTAAAAAAAAGATCTCCGGGATAAAAGTTGTGGACAGGCACAAATCAGGAGATGGATACAAAAACATTTAAAAGTCTTTTTCAATGCCTAGAAGCTCAGTGAAGTCAGTTATTAACCACTTACCATCCGCCTATAGAAGAAGTACTGCTATAAGGCAGCACAGCTTTGAAAAATCATGTATATATAAATGATTTGCATTTCTTGTTAGGGGGCACGCCCACCCCCCTACCCGCGCTGCTAATGGTGGCTGGGGATGTCAATCACCGGGTTCTGGCCAGCAATCCGTGATCATTGGCAAAGCTAACAGGGTAGAGACCTGTGTGTAAACAACACAGGTCTCTCTCTGTCAGCATGGACAATGCTGCTTTGTATCTCTCTGCACAGCAATATATTAGTCCTTAAAGGGCATTTCAAAACTATCCAGGAGAGGAAAACTTTTAAACTTAGAATATTTCTGTTTGATACAAAAGATAATGGCCTTAATTGGGACATGGGGTTCCTCACTCATTATCCAACAGTTTTAGGACCCCCTCTGTGACTGTCATCCCAACCCCCCCTAGTCTTTGCTTTTGCTCTGTCTTATCTGTAGTCTAATCCTAGTTTTATAACCATCGCTGTGTACATTTGTTTGTGCATGTCGTTTTCGGTTTTGTTTTTTTTTTCCACTCGGAGATTGTTTATTTTAACATTCTGCTAAACCTTTGTGAAGTAGTACTGCTTGGACCTTGTAAAAGGGGACATACCCCGAAAGCTTGTCCTGAAAATTGTATGTTAATGCAAATAAAAAAAGTATCATGGACAGTAATCAATAATTTTTTGGTTGTTTTTTAAATTGTCACTTTTTTTGTTTTTAGCACAAAAAATGAAAAATGCAGAGGTAATCAAATAACACCTAAAGAAAGGTCTAATGGTGGGGAAAAAAATTACATAATTTTTATTCATGTACAGCATTGCATGCCCGTGCAATTGTCAGTTAAAGTAACACAGTGCCATATCGCAAAAAATGGCCTGGTCAGGAAGAGGGGTAAATCTTTTGGAGGGCAAGTGGATATATAACATTACTTTACATAATATAGAAGTAGATGGCAAAGCCTTTCATCTACGCAGAGTAAGTTCGAAGCTCTCACTGTTGCCACACAAAATGTGATAGTTCGCCTATAAACATAACTTATAACAGAACATAAAAAAAGATAACAAAAATAACTTGTTACAAAACATACACCATGTAACATAACATATACTATAACACAACCTAAAACTTAAAATAACATTTAAAATATAACATACATATATACCATAACATAACTTATCATATAACATAATTATAACAAAAATGAAAGAAACAATATATAACATTTGTTGGCATAAAACAGAAGTAGAGGGCCAGGCCTTTCTTCTGCGCAAAAGAAGATCGAAGCTGTCACTGTTTTCACTCCAAATGTGATCTTTCTCTTTAAACACTTCAACCTATAACACATAATTTAGAACAGGGCTTAAAATTACAAGTCCTAAGCTACTAGCCAGGCCCTAAGAGTTACTCGCCACCAACAAACACACACAAAACAGAGACACCTGTACACACACACAGACTTGTACATACACACACACAGAAACATGTACAAACACACACAGGCACGTACAGACACATGTACATAAACACAGACACGTATGTACACACACATACATGTACATACATGCAGACACATGTACAGATACACACATTAGGTAACCACCACTGGCTGACAGAGGATCCTGTGACCAGAGTGAGCTGAAATTAGGCGCACACACACACACAGCCCTATAAAAAGTTGCAGTACTTCGTTGTTCACTCACAGATCCGGGTACTTCACTCTAGGGAGAGGCAGAAAGCACAGCACACACTCCTTGCTTTGCTTTCACTGTGCTCAGCAATTGAGCAGTCTGACGGCTCCCAGTGCCAATGACAGATCCGGCCTGAGCTCTGAGCCCGCTCAGCAAGACGGCCCTGGGGGACACACTCGCCCCCACCATAATTTCCACTCACCATTGGCGAGCAGGCGAGTGGAAATTTCAAGGCCTGAGTTAGAACATCACATAACACATACCATTGAATATAACATAGCATGTATCATAATATATATTATAACATAAAACATAACATAGCATGTCATTTAAAATATATAACATTACATAACATGTAATCTAACAAAACATAAAAAATACCACACCAAATGTGATCTTTCACCTTCAGCACTGTATAGAACACATAACTTATAACATAACATAAATTAACACATAAAACATATTCCATAACATATAACAAAGCATGTAACATAACATAAAAGACATATTATATAATAGATGACATAAAACATAAAATAACATAAAACAGCATTTAAAATATAGCATAACATAGCATATAAGATAACATGATATATAAGAAAACATTTAAGATAACATTACATAATAACATTCTTGGCATATTACAGACTTAAATGGCCAGGATTTTCTTCTGCGTCTAAGTTTGAAGCTGCCCCCGTTGTTACACCAAATGTGATCTTTCACCTTCAACACTGCCTATAACACATGACAAATAACATAACATAAAACATCAAAATGTAACAAAACAAACACATTAGAAAACATGTACCATAAAACATAACATATACTGTAACATAACATGTAACATAACATATACTATAACACAGGGCTTGAAAAAGCAGCTCGCCAAATGCAAGGAGAAATTCTCTAGCAGCGAGCACAGATGATGGAGCGGCTGCACTCCAAGCCTCATTGTGAAGCTGAGTTCCGGTTTTCGAGTTCCAGTTTCCGGCTTCTTCGGCACCACCGCTGAGGGGACAGGTGCAAGAGAGGCCCGCTCTCCTCCGCTGAAAGGAGACACCCTCTCCACCACCGTGGGGGATTCAAGGAGTAAGTACTGTGTACATGTCATATCACTATAATGGAGTACAGGGGAGCTGGGATATACATTACTGTGTACATGTCATATCACTATAATGGAGTACAGGGGAGCTGGGATATACATTACTGTGTACATGTCATATCACTATAATGGAGTACAGGGGAGCTGGGATATACATTACTGTGTACATGTCATATCACTATAATGGATTACAGGGGAGCTGGGATATACATTACTGTGTACATGTCATATCACTATAATGGAGTACAGGGGAGCTGGGATATACATTACTGTGTACATGTCATATCACTATAATGGAGTACAGGGGAGCTGGGATATACATCACCGTGTACATGTCATATCACTATAATGGAGTACAGGGGAGCTGGGATATACATCACCGTGTACATGTCATATCACTATAATGGAGTACAGGGGAGCTGGGATATACATCACCGTGTACATGTCATATCACTATAATGGAGTACAGGGGAGCTGGGATATACATCACCGTGTACATGTCATATCACTATAATGGAGTACAGGGGAGCTGGGATATACATCACCGTGTACATGTCATATCACTATAATGGAGTACAGGGGAGCTGGGATATACATCACCGTGTACATGTCATATCACTATAATGGAGTACAGGGGAGCTGGGATATACATTACCGTGTACATGTCATATCACTATAATGGAGTACAGGGGAGCTGGGATATACATCACCGTGTACATGTCATATCACTATAATGGAGTACAGGGGAGCTGGGATATACATCACCGTGTACATGTCATATCACTATAATGGAGTACAGGGGAGGGGGGATATACATTACCGTATACATGTCATATCACTATAATGGAGTACAGGAGAGCTGGGATATACATCACCGTGTACATGTCATATCACTATAATGGAGTACAGGGGAGCTGGGATATACATTACCGTATACATGTCATATCACTATAATGGAGTACAGGAGAGCTGGGATATACATTACCGTATACATGTCATATCACTATAATGGAGTACAGGGGAGCTGGGATATACATTACCGTATACATGTCATATCACTATAATGGAGTACAGGGGAGCTGGGATATACATTACTGTATACAGTTTTATATTTGGACTCTTTATTCTAAATAAAAATGTAATTTCATAAGCTTTAAGGGGGCGTGGTTGGGGGCATGGCTGGGGTGGGGTTGGGGGCGGACCTGGGCAAGGTGGGGTGGGGCAACTGGTGGAGAGTAAGGTTTGTGCCTGGCTAGTTGGTCAAGATTTGAAATTTTAAGCCCTGCTATAACACAATATAATATATAACATAGCATATCATTTTAAATACAAGCACATATAAAATAACATAGCATATAACAAAATATAAAAAACAAACAACATATCATATAACATAAAATAAAACATATAAAATACATACAACATATTAAAAACACTTGCATAAAATAAAATACCATAGCATATAAAATTTCATAACATTTAAAATATAACATAACATAGCATTTATAATAATATAATTTATAAAAAAAAAATCATTACATCATATGTAAGACAACATATAACATCTCTTCTGCAATGTGTAAGTTTGAAGCTATCACCATTGCCACACCAAATGTGATCCTTCACCTTCAACACTGCCTATAACACATACTAACTAACACAACATAAAAGCAACATATAACATATAAAATTTAATATAACATAAAATATATATTTTATAAAAATATACTAGAACACATGAAAAAAACATAAAATAACATAACAAAAGCATAACATTTAAAATATAACATATATAACAGATAACATAACATAGCATAGCATATACAATAACATATATAACAAAACTTTTAAGATAACATTACATAATATGTAACATAACATAAAACAAAACAAACATCAAACATATGGAAAAAAGTATAGCGAGCGCTACAGACAAAAGTATACAAGCAGCTAGAACACCAAAAAAGGCAACCAATCCTCCCTGTAATAATCAATAGTAAAAGAAAAGTAGGTGCAGCGCTAAAATCAAAAGATACAAATAATTCTCTATAGGATAAATGTATAAATATCGGTGGCTAAACAGATATGCCACAATGGTGAATATTGCGTTTAGTCAATGAAAAGTGCTGAAAGCACACATGAAGTCCTCATCCCAAAGTGATGGTAATAAAAAGGTGAAGAAAGTCCTGGAAAACAAATAGAGTGCGCACTCACCAGAGGTGCGTTAAATTAACGCATGTAAGGAAAAAACTGCTGCAAGATCTCTCCAGCATCAGGACTCTGGTCAGATCGCACTGCGTCCTATCCTCTGTCTCACCGCGAAGAGCAGTAGCCAAGTTGCATCCAAACGTGTGAGCGTCAGGGAACTCCTTGGTCCAAAGAGACACTGTGGGAAATGGTACTCTCAAAGAGAGCCCAATGAAGGACGCCACATAGTGTAATACTGTTTGACTCCAAGTTTAATAGTCAAAGGGGTGAACAAACAAAATGACTGACCATTGGTAGTTGGCCACATGTAGTGGCTAGATGTCCATAAGCTGTAGCCCCCCCTGACGCGTTTCGTGCGATGCACGTCCTCAGAGGGTCAGGGCTTACAGCAGGACATCCTTATTCATCTATTTATACAGAGGAATGGCAATCGCGCTAGTCGCGGCGGCCATTTTGCCGGCGTCTCGCGCATGCGCAGTTAGTCGGCGCCATTTTGCCGTAGATCGTTATAGGACATGCACTTATCCTCCTAGTGGTTTATTGTACAGAGTGTGTCCCAGGCAGGCGCCATGATATAGGTGGGGAAAGGGAACAGAATCTATGTCACACAGCCACTGAACTGCTGACGAGACTAACAAAGGAAAACATGGATAAAAGGGAGCATTGTGCTTATCCAGTGGCATTGATTGTATACCAGGGAAAGCATATCCACATGAGACTGGATACTTTGATGCAATATATTAGGATATATACCTAAATGCAAGTTACAGGATTTATATAGTGTAACAATGTAGGAAATTGCTCCATTATTGTTTTGGCTCAGCAAAGAGTAATTAAAAATGCTAATTGAAAATCATAATAATAAGAAGTTATACGTGTTAACGGTTGTAAAAAAGATTATGCGATAGCCATTTCTACTGCAATAAATAGATTATAATTATCAATACATTTAAAATTTGATAAATTTTATTAGATAAATATTAAAATAGGTCAGTGCGGTATAATATATTCCATATGGTCAAAAAAAACGCATAAAATCCAATAATAGTATATAAAAAGGGATACATAAACATGAATGTATATTAAAAAATGTTGTAAAAAATACCTGAAAAAACTACTGAACTAGAATAGAATAGAATGGAATTCACAATGACAATTAATGTTGATATAGATAAAAGAGAGGTATTATCAACCACATCTATTGATACAGGGCAAAAATATCAGGGCAAAAGAACCAATAATCTCAGGATACTGTAAAAGCACATTTAACTGTCATCAATAAAGCAATTCAAGTCAAATTCAATGTTAAGACCTTTTGGGTATAAAGATCCAAGGTCATATATCCACTTAGACTCTAATTGTGAGATAGCTCTTTTCTTATTTTGGCCTCTCCAATGTGCATTTATCATTCCTATACCCATAAAAATTAATGACGATGGATCTTGGTTATGATGCGTTTATAGTGCAGGGATAGCGAATGATCCTTATAGCCCTTTCTGATATTGTTCACATGTTCTTTTAAACGATCCCTCAATCGTCTAGTTGTTCGTCCAATATATTGTAAATGACAGGGACACTGCATTAGGTAAACAACATATTTACTTGTACAGGTAATACAATCGTCAATCTTAAAGTCTTGCCGTTAGCTGTGGAGTTGAAACTTGTATGTCTGCTTGTAAACTTGCTATTAGTACAGATCATACATTTTTTGCATGGATAAAAACCTTTTATTTGTGGGAAGAAAGGAGTGTATACAGGGGGATCAAGAACATTTGGGGCTATTCTATTCCCAAGCGGGGTGGCTTTCCTAAAAGCAATCTGCGGTTGGTCTGGTAAAAATCGTTTTAAAACTGGATCTGACATTAGAATCTTCCAATTGTTGCGAATTATCCTGGCAACTGATTTATATTGAGTTGAATAGTTTGTCACAAAAGGACAAACTCTCTCAGGTCTCTTGTTAATATTATTCTGCAACATCACATCTCTACTAGAGATGCCTACTTCAGTCATGGTTTGTGTTTTCATCATAACCTTTTTCAAGGAACTTGGTTTTAATGATGGCAGCCTGTTTATAATATGTATTGACATCAGTACAATTGCGTCTAATTCTGGTAAACTGACCCTTAGGTATATTTTTTAACCATGCCGGATGGTGGCAGCTTTCCAAGGGGATGTAACTGTTTCTATCAGTTTTCTTGAAGAATGACTCAGTTATAATTCTTCCTTCCACATTTAGCAAAGTCAGATCCAGAAAATTGATGCTCTCATGACTGTAATTGAAAGTAAGGCTAATGTTGAGAGAGTTAAAATTTAAAGTGGTAAAAAAATTTAAAAGTGATTCTTCATTGCCATTCCATATGAGGAGGATGTCATCTATGTATCTCCTGTAAAAGGAGAGTTCAGGCCAATCTCTGGCATAGATGACATCCTCCTCCCACCTGGCCATAAACAGATTTGCTAGGCTGGGGGCGAATTTCGCCCCCATAGCCACGCCCTTAGTCTGTAGATAAAACTGCTGGTTGAACCAAAAGTGGTTCTTAGTCATAGCGAATTCCAAAAGTGATAAAATGAAATCCTTCTGTAAAACAGGTATGTCACTAAAATCGTCTAAGAAAAATCTCACTGCTTCCATACCGTCCGAGTGGTTTATATTTGTATACAGGGAGGCTACATCAGCTGTAACCAGGAATGTGTCCAAATTAGTGGGTAAGTCTTTAATATCATAGAGAACCTGCTTAGTATCCTTAAGGTATGCCGGCGTTTTTCATCACAAGTGGCTGTAGGAAATGATCTATATATTTGCCTATTCTAGCTGTTAGAGATCCTATTCCACTTATTATTGGCCTCCCTGGTGGATTAAGTGGATCCTTATGTACTTTAGGTAATATGTATAAAATAGGGAGTCTTGGTGATACAGGGCATAAAAATGCTTTTTCTTTTTTACTTATGATATTATCCTCATAACCCCTTTTAATTATAGACTTGAGTTCTTTCTTATATTGAACTACTGGGTTTTTTTGGTAACAGTGAGTATGTGTCTCTGTCACTGAGGATATTTAGGGCCTCTTTGATGTAATCACCTTTATTAAGGACAACGACCCCTCCCCCTTTGTCCGCAGGGCGGGATCACGAGATCTTTCTTCTCTAATAAAGAATCAATAGCTCTGCGATTAGCGTCATGTTTATTGATTTTCTTTATTGTAATAGTCTCTAAATCACGCAAAACTGTATCCCTAAAGGCGTTGATATAGGTGTTGTTTTGTGGTGGAGGGTTAAACAGAGATGGATTATGAAGGTTAGAATTAATAAATCTCCCTTCATTAGAGGGTATTGGGGGTTTGTTGAAAAAATATTTTTTCAGAGATAATTGCCTAACATATTTTCTAATGTCAACATATGTTTGAAACTTGTTGAGCGGTTTTTTAGGCGCAAATTTTAGTCCTTTATTTAATAGTTTGATCTCTTGGGTGGTCAAAACTTTGTTACTAAGATTAAAGATCCCCATGTCTTTTACATCTTTCTTTTCTTGAGACTTGTTGACCCTCTTGCCTCCCCGTTTGCCTCTTCGGTGGCACCTCTTTTTTGTGCCTTGTTCTCTCCTAAAAAAATTAGGCTGCGGATGATATCTATTAGGCTGTTCCACATAAGTTTGTTGTGTCTGTGTCATTCTATAATCAGGTCTATTAGGCTGTGATGCTGGTCCATAATTCGTGTTTCTCCACGTGGAATGGTTAGAGTTTCTCATGTTGTTCCTAGGTGAGGAATAAGGTCTATTGTTATAATATACCTGTTGGGCTTGTATAGGTTTAGAGTAATGGCGATTCTTATTGTGATTGTGTAATTATAGTTATTTGGATAATTGTTACGGTGTTCAGGTCTAGGGTGCCAGTCTAGG